GGGCGGCCTGCCGGGGGGGGCAGGCAGAAGTCATGGGGGAGGGGGAGCTGGCCTGCCAGGGGTGCCAGGAGCTGCAGGGGGAGCCGAGATGCTTGCTGCTTGCTTCCAGCTGCCATTCACTCCTCCCCCAGGTAAGTGCTGCATGCTCATCCAAGGAGCAGCCCACGACTTAAAGGGCCAGTTTCCATTTTTTTTTTCCCCCTCCCAGTGTCAGAAGTTTGCTCGTTTCTATAGTTTTCCGTATGCTTAAGTTCCGGATAGCACAGGTTTTACTGTAGTAAGGAAACTATTAGTCAAAAAAATTTTCTTGATTTTTTTTGTTGTCTGTATTGTTATAGACATACTCATTAACAAGTCTTTTGAAATAAATTACCAAAATAATTGAAATTAGCATGATTGTGTTATTTTGACAAAATATACACAATTTTAAAATATGGTGCACTGAATTTTTATTTTTGGAGCAAAATTCCCCTCAAGAGTTATTTATGATTTGCTATTTATGCACTGTAATGAACAATAATGAATTCTAAGATAGGAATTGGATAGCAACCGCCTGATGATATCCAGAGATATGGGGATAACAGATATGGAGACTGTTAACTGATCAGCCATGGACAATGCTCAATTCTTGTCACCGACTAGCAATATAGACTGGTAACTTTGCTATTGATATGTCACCATCATTGTAATCATGCAAGAGCCCCACCTTTCAAATCCATCAACTATAGTTTTGTGGACAAAGTTTACATCCTCTATATACTCAGCACTTTATATCCATTGTACATGTGTACTCAGTTGCAAGAAAAGTAGTATATTTAAATGAAAAAAACATACATCAAGCTCAAAGAAAAAATCTTGCTCCTTGGATGCAATTTCATAATCTGCTCTTAATGCCAGGTCATGCACCTTCAGACATTCTCCAAGATCCATCCTCTGAAAACAGACAAATGATTATTTGGGGTTGGAGAAGCAGAGGTATAGCTTAATCTGTAGGACAAATATTCCCGAAGTGAAGTTTGCATGACTTTTTCAACTGTAAGCTATTGGAAAGTGAATCATTTTTCTGTATGGAATTTCAGATAGATTATTTTAGTACTACTACAGGTTATTTCAGTATTGCTACAAATACAGTGTGGCATTTGGAATTATTACAGCATGCAGGTGTAAGAGGACGTAAAAACAGACAAATGACTAGCATTAAGTCAGACCCAATTCATGCTATATGTTCTGAGAACTCTCATTTCCCACCGTAATTTAACCCATTTACTAACCAAAGTCCATGAAGAAGATTGAAGTAACTGAGATCCTCTACTTAGCTAAACAATTTAAAAGGTGCAAGTCACTGCAACACTGTTTTTAGCTGAGTAACAGAATCTGCAGTGACAGTTATTGGAACACACTAGAAGGTATTTTAGTCTTAATCATCCTTGAAAATGCTGCAATTTAAGCTTAATTATAGTGAAGCATTGTTTAAAAAGCAATCCTGGACAGCTTAACTAAAAAGTTGGGATGAATCTCCCCTTCCCTCAGAAAATTTTGGTGATGAGGAGTAAAGACAAACCAGCCGTCTAAATGCATGAATTAAGACTGAGAAATTAAAAACGGAAGTGAACATAAAATGCTACACACGAAGAGGAAGAGGCAAAAATAATGAGGTAGAACATGAAATGGATTGAGCCACTACGTATTTAATATTATAGAGAAAACACCTGCAAGAAATACAGAATTTAAGTGTGCCCATAAAGGTATAACCACTAGCAATTAAATTTTGTTTCAAGTGAAAATCAGCTATCCGTGAGTTTGCAAGTAGGTAAGAAACACAATCCAATTGGTTCATATTGAAAAAAGAAAAAAGCATCCCCCAAAATACCATATTATTATGCAAAATAAGACTCTGCAAATGTATGTCTGATTTTCCCTCATGTGAAAAGACTAAAGCAACAACAAATATAGCTAACTAACATTTTCATTATTTAACTTATACCTCATAACTTTTTTTAAACAAAATTAGTAGGGTTTTACTTAAATCAACAACCTAAGATAACAATGAGAAATGTTTAATTAATAAACTATTAAATGTATCGGAGAAAATACAATAATTTGTAAGTTTTAAACTGCTTGTTGGCAGTGTCCATCCTCCTAAGAAGTCACCTCATGCTTGTAATTGTCAGTATGCATGGAAACTTGAATATGGTCAGAGACTAGAAATAAGTGACTGCTGTGGGTTAATAGTGATTTTACAACCAAATTATCAAATATTAGCTCAAAACATTTTTAAAAAATAAACACTGCAATAAAATGGGTTAATTTAGAAGTCAAGTATCATGTGACTAAGACAATTTCACTGGAACAAGATACCAATGTACTGCCAAAGATTCAGAAATTACTGGCATTACAAATCATTCACAAAGGTAAACATTTAAGACGACAGCCTCCAACAGCTCAGTGAAAAGTATGTTTAAATTTAACATTTTAAAATGTTTGCGGAGAAGTAAAGAACTATTAACATTGGTTAGCTTAAAAATCCCCAAGTTTTAGTTCTTTTCATAATCATCTGGTTAATCCAAGGTATTTTTTCTTTAGGATTTCATTTAATTATTGAGCTAAACAGAAGACTAGCGTTTTGCCTACAACTGCTACACAGGACAAGCATGCTGTTAACTGATAACAAATGTAATTAATCAACATTAAAAAGTGCTTGTCTTGCAGCCTCTGAAAGCATTACACATTGCATCTAAAGCACTGTTGAAATTAGAACTTGGTAAATTATAATTTAAGAGTTAAAACCTCAGGTTTTAAAGGGAACTATTAATTTTTCAGCATATTAGAGTTCCCTACTTTCAGGTGCATACATGAAACTTTCCTTCATATTGGTGATGTGCAGCAATATACCCACTATGAAGATATTGCCATAAGTTCTGAAATATGACATGCATAAGAGAGTGATTAAAGTAAACCTGAAATGTTTCCAATTAAGAAACAGAGGATTAGAGTAGAAGGAAAATTACTAATTATACTTCAAGTTATTAGCTTTAATGTTCTAATGTATCAAAAACCAAGTTTTGGACATAAAAATATTCGAATTTAAAATTCTTATACCAAACTTTGCAGACATAAGCAAAGCCTGGCTAGATGACATAGTTGTTAGTGTTAGCAGACTTCAGCCAAGTATACCGTGCAGCACGAGACACAGGGAAGTCGGGCGGGAGGTATGGCTGAATTTCTTGTAGCCACATTCACTACAGCCTTAATTATAGCTTTAAATCTCAGAGTAACAGCCATGTTAATCTGTAACTAAAAAAAACTTAACAGTCCTATAGCACCTTAGAGACTAACCAAAAAAGCGTACAGATAATATCATGAGCTTTTGAAGGCAAAGCCCACTTCTTCGGAAGACAAATATGGAGCAAGAGGCATTGAGGTTGAATTCAACTCATATAGTCTCTAAGGTTCCACAGGACCATTATTGTTTTTTAAGAGCTATAAGTGTCCATCTGATTTTTGTGTCTTGGAATGGAGTTAATATTGATACATTGGTCACTCAAACACCCAAGAGGTCTTCACTGAACTGACTGAAGATTCTTCACTGTGCTTAGACCCCAAGACTGCCAATGTCTGATAAGTGTCAGAAGGGTAACCATGTTAGTCTGTAACTTTAAAAACAATGAGTAGTACTGTGGCACCTTTGAGACTTAACAAAAATGTACATTCTATCATGAGCTTTTGTGGGCAAAACCTGCTGCTTCAGATGAGTGGGAAGCTGGAGCTCTTCCAGCTCATCTGGAGGAGTAGGTTTTGCCCACAGAAGCTCATGATATATATATATTTATATTTTTGTTCGTCTCCAAAGTGACACAGGACTACCCACTATTTTTAATGTTTGGTAATTTCAATCAAGTTAATGACTACAGCACAAGATCAGGTCGGGGCCATGAGTATCAGGGGACTATAAATATTTGATTACCAATCAGTTGACAGATCTGGATACAGTTCAGTTAAGTATTTGGAATGGGACTGTAGACTGAGCAAGACATTATTAGGACAGACCTTTCACCTGTGATTTGAGGTCATGACATCTTTTCCCACAGAGGCAGAGAATATGTTGTGGTAGTCCATGCATCAAGATGGCTCCAAAGCAAGGGTGGCCAACCCGTTATAGGCAAAGAGCCAAAATAGCTGTGAATATAGTACAAAGAGCCAGGGAGGAAAAGGTCCCTCTCCCTCCAACAAAAGAAAGAAAAGAAGCCCCCAGCCATGTTGGGG